CATGCATCACGCACACACGTGAGTGCCCACGCAGGCGCACACACGCCCCCGGGGCTCGGCGGGTCGAGGGGGCTGCAGCTGCTCAGAGGAGCACAACTCCCCACGCAGGTGGTGCTGAGCTCAGGTTGACTCAGCTGCAGGCGGCGCCGTCGGGGGGTCCTCGCGCCGCCCCTGGGAGCCAGGAACCCAGGGACAGGGAGATGGAAGCACAGTCGGAAAAACACAGATAATTCCCGGGACGTTAAGTCAGGATGTTGTTGTAAGTAACGAGTTCACAATTAAAACTCAGAATTGTATTGTCCGAGGGCTGCCCCTGCCTGGTGTGGGCTGGCAGGGAGCGCATGGAGGCCCCCTCGGCCCTGAAAGGTGAAGGGCAGGTCAGCCGCTGGGCAGCATTCCAGTCCTGGAGGCGGAGAGCCTAGGGGCCGGGGTGGGGGGGTGGAGAGAGGGCAGAGGGGCCCTAGAGCAGGGGTGTGGCTGGGCCGTTGCAAGGACCTGGACACCCACCGTCTCTGCTCACCTAGGTCAGCGCGTGGGCAGAAACATCCCCACAAGTGGGGCACGGGGGTCAGGGTAGGCCCCAAGTGGCATGTGCACTGTCTCCCTGTCTCCTGACCCGAGCGAGGGCAGGAAGGGCACCCCTCCCTGCCCACCTGAGAAAGCGGTGTCCGCGGCAAAACCCGCACAACCTCTTCTGGGTGCACCTGGAAGGAAAGGGCCCCCTGGGGCTCCAGGGGACCTGGTGCCAACCCCTGGGCCAGGGGACATGCCTCCTGGGAGGCCACCTGACCACCCCCCAACCCCCGCTGCTCTCCCCAGCCATCGCCCAACGCGGTCAGCCTGGACTGACTGATTCCTGCATGAATATTCACGCCGCAGCCTGGACGAGGCACTAATGTGCTGGGAAAGCAGAATGGAGCCCTGGCCCCTCCTCGCAGAATGAATGGCCGCGCACTTCTCCAGCTCGCACACAGGCCTGCAGGGCTCTCCTCAGGAGACGTTCTCCCACTGACCGACTGACCTGGGGCATGGCTGTCCCCTCTAGAGGGTGCCCACTTTCAGGCGGGGGGCCCCAGGCCCTGCCCTGCTCAACCACACCGCCCGCCCCACCCAGCGACCTAGCCTCGTCGTCCTCCCACCAGTGCAGCCCATCCCCAGCCCAGGGGTCAGGGTCAGCGTCCAGCCCCAGGTCAAGGTGGCAGGGGACATGGCTGAACCGGCCAAAGGCAGAGGGGGTCTGCCTCAACCTGGACTTCCAAGCCTGACGGCCAGGGGTGGCATTCTGGCCTCTCTTGGATAAGGCCATGGTTACACCCGGCCATCTCACCATGCACCCTCCTGCGGGCCCTCCCCCAGCACCAGGCGCAGAGGCGGCCACACAGCGAGAGCCACAGCCACTCTGCCAGAGGCCCCGTGTGACACAGCTGCCAGCAGGCCTGGGCACGCTGCCCGCTGGGGCGGGGGGAGGGGCGCAGCCCACAAGCCGCTGAATCAGCGGCTCCCTCCCGTCCTCCCTGTCCCCTCTGGGCAAGGATGCTGGTGAGGCGGGGCGCTCCCTCTTCTGGGAGCTGTCAGGGAGGTACGCCAGACTGCTGGGATTTCTGCAAAGTGGCTCCTGGGTGCAGCTTGGTGCAGAGCGGCAGGCGGCCTCGAGGGGATGGGGCGGCTGGCTGTCCTAGAGGGGCTGGCCCAGAGAGGCCCTTTCCCAGCAGCAGCAGGGAGGGGGAAAGGAGAAGCACTGGGCTCTGCGGAGGGAAGGAAGCTCGCTACGCTACGGCCCAGAAAGGGCTGATTCAGCACCGGGCGCCTGCTCTCCGCCAGCTCCCTCCTCCAATCACAGGCTGCCAGTGACAGGGACCTCTCAAGGTCAGGGACCATCGATGTCTGTGCAGCCAGCCCCAGCCCACCGCCCTGTCCTCCGCAGCAGTACTGGGCTCACACTCTGATCCAGAGCAGGCGGCGCCTGCCCAGCCATCGTCCGGGGTGGGGCTGTGTCCCTCCCCCACAGCCCCCACCATACTGCGGGGGGAGGGGAGACCGGGAAAGACACAGGAGTCCGACTGCCCCTCCAGGTGTGACCTCCTGGGGGCTGCCAGGAGTGCCCGCAGGACCAGAGAGAGCATCTCCTGAGATGTCCGTACTGCCCTGGGTCTGGACGGCACCCAGACTTTCTCACATAACCTCTGGTTTCTGGAAGTTCCCAAAGCACCACCCTTCCTCGCGTTGCCCCTCTGCTGGCTGATTCCCCTCCTCCTGACAGCCCTTCGAACCCTCCTACTGGCCGCAGAGGACTCAGGCCCCGCAGCAGAGGGGGGCTGGAAACCGCCGAGTGTGGGGGCGCGGCCACTGAGGCTTTTCCTCCTGCCTCCGGGGCACCTGGCTCCGGCCTCAGGGACGCCCCGTGCCTCCCCTCTTTGTTCAAGGGAACTGCTTCTCTCCTCCCTCCTCTCCCACTCCCTCCCTGCCCCCCCACCCCCCCAACACTTCTGTCCTAACCCTGACCTCCAGACCCAGCCTGACCCTGACTGGACCATCCCCCTGCCAGGCTAGGCGACCTCCAGGAGCCCCCCCCTCCCCCACGCAGGCTCTAGCGGAGCCTCGGCTCCTCACCCCCACCTCCCCAATCAAGGACAAACTTGCCACCACCTGCGTCCAGGTGCTGTCACCAGGGGCAGCCTGGCACCTGCAGAACCTTCCAGGTACTCTCCTCCCTCTTCTCTTCCCTCCCGCCCCACCTTGGGCCCATCTTCACCCACCCGGGGTCCTGCATGAGCAGCAGGGGCCCTCCCTGCCCTCCCAGCTCACTGGGTCTGACATAGTGGCTATCCTGGGTCACTCCCTCCCCCACCCACCTTGAAGGCAGCCTGGGCCATTAGGGAGGGAGGAGGCGGCAGGAGCCACGGAGGCCTGGCAGCTCTGCAAGGATGACTCCTGGTTCCTAAGCCCGCTCCAGCTCCTGGCATCTGCCAGCCCAGCCCTGGGACCTGCGCTCAGGCCTGCAGGTCAGTCCTTTTCCCCAAGACAGGGAGCTCATAATGAGCATAGACTCTGCCCTAAATGACATCTCAGCAGAATGCCCCCAACCGGAAGCCGCTGCCCTCACAGGTCACCCCCCCCCCACCCTACCCCATGATGCCGAGACCCCTCTCTGGGTGGCAGCGTCCTGACTGCAGCCTGGATCCCAGCCCTGCTCTCCCACTGCTTGGCCCAGGGCTCCTGTCCTTGAAGATGGGATCGGGGAGTTGGCCAGAGGCCCACCTGGTGGAAGAGGCCTCGCGCTCACCAAGTACCATCCTAAGTTGGCCTGCTGGGGCTGCTGCCCTGGTGGCCGCCAGCGCCCAGTGCCCGCAGCCACCGCAGCCGCTTATCAGCTCTGCCACCACCACAAGCCAAACCCCGAAACAACTTGGGACTGTTTTCTGCTGGGAAAACACCCAGTTCCACAAAATCCCGGAAGCAGCAGGTTGGCGGCCTTTCCGTGGCACTTTCTGGCCAGCGCAGCAGCGTGGCAGGGCGTCCCTGTCATGCGTGAGGAACAGGGGTGTCCCCGCATGGAAGCTCGCAGACGTTTACAAAATAAAGATACTGAGTAACCATGCGTCTCTTGTTTTTCCAAGGCTTTCGGTTAAACAAGAACCGGCGCTCTGGTTTCCAGCCAGTGTCCTCCCCGCGCACAAGGATCTTTCCTGGGAGGGAGCTGACACTGTGCACTCGGTTCAAGGACCTACTCCCGGGCCCTGTGAGGACCCTACACCCTCACTGGCGGGTACAAGTTGGCCCCGGGGACCTTGCTGGGACCCGCTGCCGGCGCGGCCACATTGTCCCTGCTGTCCTGACAGACTCCCGGCCGCGAGGTCAAGGTGGGCCCCTTGAAACCCCACACGGGCGTCCCTGCCTCAGCGCCGCAGACGCCTGCTTTAAAGAGTCCTCGATCATGCCTGGGACAGACTCCTTCCGTGGCATCTTTGGTCGGTCAGACCCTTACAGAAAGAACAAAGATTTTGAGCTTTAAGCAATCACTCCATCAACGTGTTAAAAAAATAAGTTTAATGCAGGTGGCTCATCTCATAAAGAATTTAACAGGCGCTCGCGTCACCGAGCACCTCTGTGTTCACCATGCCAGCTCCTCATGTGGCCGCAACCACAATCGAGGCAGCCCAGCCACACCCCTCCTGCCGTCCTGACGGTGCGGACACATGTCCACCTCTGTGGCGGGAGCTCTGGGGGATCTGAGTTAACACAGAACAAAACTTTTAGGAAACAGCATGATTTAGTGCAAAAGATTCTCTGCGGTGCTGAGAAGTGGGGTACACGCAGGTCAGCTCCCCGCGGGGCATCCAGGGAGCCCGCAGACGCCACCCAAGCAAGGACTTCATCCCGGGAGCCCTCCCACTGTCCCCAAGTTGACAACTGCTGGATAGAAGCCGGCTACAAATCAAAGAGCGTGGTTTACAGCTGAGCTTTCTTCACCTTCTCTCCCTGATTTGGAGTCTTCCTCCCGGGGCACCCAACTGTCCGACAGCTCCTCTGGCCCCTGGACTGCCTGGGCACACAAGGTCAAAGGGGCCACTGCCCATGCTCGGGGGGTGGGGAGGGACAACTCGGGATGAGGGGTTTGTCACCCCCAGGATGAGGCTGTCTGCTGTCCCTGGTCTCTGCCTGTCGTCCCATCACAATTATTCCGAGCGGCTTCTCACCTCCCAAGAAGACCTGCTGTGACTATGGGGCCACCAGGCCACCCTCTCCTCCTCTGACAGAGAAGCGAGGGGTCTGCACAAGACATGGGCCCCCGGATGGACCAACAGTCCCTCCGCTCCTTCCGGCCCCACATTCAGTTCTGCTTGTCCCTCAGCAGCGGCTCCAAAGCGGGGGCAAGAACACAGGGGCAGCCCAGCCCGTGCACACACACGCCCAAGAGGGGCTCTTTCAGCGGAAACTCTGCTCACGTCCCGGGGACAGGCGCACAGAGGCTGTGGTGCTTCTCCAGACGTCAGCTCTGACGTCAGCTCCCAGCACGCACGTTTCAACGCCTGCCATCCCTCAAAGGGAGAGAGGCCAAATCTCGGCTCCCCTCCCCACCCCCAGCAGGAAGGAGTTCAGGGGCCTCCCAGAATTCCACGCTTGGAGAGACTATGGGATCCCGCCTGATGTTTTCAACAAACCTGCCCAAGAGGAAGGCAGATCGCCCAGGACCAGGGCTGGTCCCCAATCTGGGAACTGGCCAAGGCTGCCTGTGACTCCCACTCAACCGCGTCTAAGCAAACCAACGTGGCCCGGAAGCCCGGCCTGGAACTCAGGACTCCGCCGCCGCTCAAGGGGAAAGACGGAGGGCCTGAGCGCTGTGCCGGGACGCCGGCGGCCCAGGGCAGAGCGAGCAGCTTTGTGGCAGCGCGGACGCCAGCCACTTGAGCCTGACACTTCCCTAAGGCTGGGGCTGGGGGCTCACGGGGAGGGGCCGTGCAGCTGGCCAGGAGGCCCTCGCTCGCAGCCTGTGATGCCCGTGTCCCGGAGAGGAAGCAGGGACACAGAGGCTCTCCAAGGCAGGCTGGGCCTACGGGCCTCACCCTGGCACAGCCTGGAAAAGCGAGGGCTGGAAGCGTGGGCTGGCGGCCAGCAGGCGCTGACCCCCCAGGGACATACAAGGAGGGTCAGTGCAGAAAACGAGCAGCAGAGGGGGCGCCCGCGTCCCCTTCCCGGAGCAGTCTCAGCACCCCCCCGCCCAGACCCGCGAGGCGGGAGGAGTCCCGACCCAGCCGGTCAGGAGAAGCACGGGCCTCGGGGAAGACACCCCACGGCGGAGGCCCAGGCCGGGCCCTCACATGTCCACGAAGACCATGAAGCACCAGCCCAGGCCCCCGACCAGCAGCACCGTCACGCGGATGCCGTAGATGAGCAGCTCGTTGAGGAGGCGGAAGTCCACGCGCCGGCGGCCCAGCAGCAGCAGCAGCACCGACAGCTTGAGCTGGAAGCGCAGCAGGACGCGCACGCCCAGGTACTGCAGGCAGAAGAGCGCGGCCAGCGCGCCCCAGAGCGCGGCGGTGAACAGGCTGCAGCTGAAGTAGAGCAGGAAGCGGATGAAGCCGTACAGCCAGCGCGCGCGCACGTACACGTCGAAGTTGTTGTACTTGGTGCGGGCCAGGCGGGAGGTGCGTGCCGGCCCGCAGGCCGCGTGCAGGCAGGTGGTGTGCGGGCCGTGGAAGGAGCGCACCCGCCGCGGGATGGGCATGACCGGCATCGGGGCCCGGGCGCTGTGGCGAGCTGGTGGCAGCACTGGTGTCCGCGCAGCGGTCGGCATAGGCGTCATGGGCACCTAGGCCCGCGCGTGGCAGCTGAGCCCTGGGGGGGTGCAGCGGCCTGCGGGGAAGTGACAGAGACAGGAGCGGGGTGAGCCCCGGGACGCCGGAGCCGGCCCCGGGGCCACGGGGAACCTGCCCCCTCGGCTCAGGTGCCCGGGGGCCGCTCTCGCCACAAGAAGCACCGAGGACGCTTCAGAGGCACCGGACGCAGGAGCCAAGCGCGAAGATCAGACAGGGGGTCCGGAGCCCTGGCGCTGAGGCTCCCTAGGAGTGACCTGAAGCCGGTCCGCCCCCCTCCCCTCCCTGCCCTGCTGGCCGGGGCGCCGGGCTCCCGTGGGGGCGGGGGGACGCTGGGGACCACGCCTGGCAGGCAACAGGACATCGCAGGCCTGGGACCAGGAAAGGACAAACGCCGAGTGGTCTCGTGACCGCCTAAATCACTCGTAGGGGAAAGATGCACGTGCGGACGTGTGAACAGCGGGGCAGCCGGGGGGCTACGGGCTCGGGAGACACATCCCACAGGCCGGCCAGGGGCGTGCGCGGGGGCGGAGGCCGGGCGGGTCCAGGGCTCCCCGCAGGCTCGGCCAGAGCCTGGTCTGAGCCCCGGGAGGCTCCGCGCGCTTGCCTCGGTCCGGCCCGCATCTGCACCTGCGGGCCTCATCCGCTGGACCCCGCCGGGCTCCCTGCCCTCCTCCCTCCCGCCCCGGGCCCGCCGCCGCCACGCACGGTCCCTCCGCCCAGCGTCCGCGCCGCGGGCTCCCGGGGCAGGCAGGCGGCCGGCACCGGCGCGGACCCGCGAGCCACCCCTGGGCAGGCCCGTCCGCCGCTCACCAGGTGCCCTCTCCGCGCCGGCGCCGGGAAGGCCGGCGGTGCGGGCGGCAGGGCCTGCGGCACCCCCCGACCCACGGGGCTCCAGGAGCAGGGCGGCCGCATGGTGCCCACGGCGCGGCGGCTGCGGGGCCCAGCCGCTCACGCGTCCCTGCCCCAGGCCGCCCCGAAGGGCCCGGGGCTTCCGCGCCCCGCGGCCGGCGGCGTTTGGCCCAGCGCGGGAGCCGTAGCGCCGTCCCTCTGCGGCCACCGTAGCACTTCCCTCCCACCCCTCCGCCCGAGCCGACCCCGAGAGCGCCTCCCTTCCCCCTGGCTCGGAGAGACTCTGAGCAGCCGGAACTCGACACTTCCCTAGGGCGTGCGTGCTTACGTGCCTGCGTGCGCGCCGTCCTTAGCACTGCCGCCCGACGCCTCGTCCCGCGTATGCCGCGGGCCGCTCGGTCTGTCTTGCGCAGGCGCAGATGGTGGGCCTGCGCGTGCGGACCGTGGGCAGCCCCTCCGCGCACGCGCGCGCCGCCCTCACGTGTCCGCGGCCCGGGGAGCGGTAGCGGGGCTGGGGAGTGGCCCACTCCCGCCGCCGCTCCCGGCGTTGCCCCAACCGGACCCGGAGGATTGCGCGCGGACTCGTGAAGGGTTTCAGGCCTGCCGGGTTCCGGGTCGCTCCCTTGTAGATGCGGCTCCGCGTCCCCGAGAATGGGGGCCCGCCGCCTCCCGGGCCCGAAGCCCCGCGGCCCTCGCCTCCGGCCCGCCAGCCTGCACCCCGCACCCCGTCCCTGCTGCGGGCTCCTGCGTCCTGGCCTTTGCGCTCCTGGCCCTCGGGGACGAGGCCGGGCAGGGTCAGCGGAAGGAGCCGGAGAGCTTTGAAAGGTGCCCGGAGAAACCGTGAAGGGGCAGCAGATGGCAGAAAAGGAGGATATTTTAATAAATATTCCCTAAAATGCAGCCTTCTTCTGGTTGGTTTCTGCAGTAACTGCCTGCTCCACACTCGGACCCTCTCCCGCCCCGGTCCAGCCCTGTCCCCCGGGGCACCCCATCAGGCCCCTCCAGGTCTTTGCGGAGGTCCCATTGCTCGCTGCATGACCTGTCCCTTCTCGCTGGTTCTGTTCCCCCTCAGCCGCTTGCCGAGCTCCTACTCACCCTGTGAGACCCCAGTCCAATGCCCCCTCCTCCAGAAAGCTGCCTCCGCCCGCGCGATAGCTCTTCCCGGGCACCCATGCCCTCCCCGAGTGTGCGCGGCTGCTGCTTGCTCTGCGCGGTCTTCCATCCCCAGAGCTGCGGACATCTCGCGGACAGACCCACGCCCCCATCAGCCCAGTTCTCTCGCCGGGCCAGGGTGAGACGTGCTTCTGCTTCGTGGCCCAGTGCGCACGTACCGTGTTCACACAACCCCGGAAGCCTCACGAAAGAGCACTTCTGAGCCACAGTCTAGTCCGTCCCTACCTGCCGCCCAGGCTCTCAGGTAAGGAGCCTGGCGGGCGAGCACAGGCTGTGTCCTCAGGGCTGCCTTGGGGCAGGGCCAGGGGAAGCCTCCGACCCTGCTATCTGTTTGCAGGTCCTCATTTGGGGCCCCGGTGGGGATCCCCATCCGGCTCTCCACCCTCCTGAGTACCCCTGTCCCCAGGCTTCCCCTCGGGGCTGGGCAGCGGGCAGTGGCCGGGCGCCACCTGCTGGGACGGTTTCCAGTTGCTGCAGACCGGCCCTGCGGGAGGGAAGGGTGGGAGTGAGGCTGAGTCCACCGGGGCCTTCCAGGCCTTAAAGCGGCTGTCCTGGACCCCCCCAGCCCGGCGCCCCCCGGCTGTCTGGGGCTGCTTTCGAGCTTCCGTGGCAGAATGGAGTGGGCTCCTGGGAGGACACCCAAAGGCCTACAAACCTGAGAACCTCTACCCTTTGGCCTCTACGGTTTGTTGGGCCCTGCTCCCCACTTTAAACGGGGAGGAGGAGTGTCACCCTTGGAGTCATGTTTAACTTACTCGTCCTCGGCAGGGGTCAGCGTGACGTCCAGCTCATGGTGACACTGACTGCTGGACGCCAGGCAGCGTGCCCCAGTTCCGAGGCCTGATCGAGCCCCAGGTCCCAGAGGGGCTCAGCCTCTGGGGCCTCACACACACCCGCACAGTCTCCTGGCCGCAGCGCAAGGGCTGCACTTCCTGCCCCCGGTTCCGGGCTGCCTCAGTGACCAGATCCTGAGGCCCAGGTGACCCTGTGGCATCTCCAGGGTTGGGTCAGAAGAAGCTGCACACCACCCCCTCCCATGTCCTAATGCTCCCTCCCGGAACCAGCTGCCGTGCTGGTGGACGCTGGGCCACAGGGGGGGGCACACATGACAGGCGTGGGGGGGACGTTTTTGGGACGCCCGTCAGGGGGCTCCGGGCTGGGCTCTTTTTTTTTTTTTTTTATGTTTCTTTTATTTTACTTTTTTTTTTTTTTTTAATTTACTTGACAGAGATCACAGGCAGGCAGAGAGGCAGAGGAGGAAGCAGGCTCCCTGCTGAGCAGAGAGCCCGATGCAGGGCTCGATCCCAGGACCCTGAGATCATGACCCGAGCTGAAGGCAGAAGCTTTAACCCACTGAGCCACCCAGGCGCCCCGGGGCTGGCTCTTCTGAGCGCAGCTTTCGAGTATCCGGGAAAGGCAGCAGACGTGTGAGTGAAGGAGGCTCATGTGATCCCAGAGTGGTTGCGTGGGCCACGCCGGAAGCATGGAAGGGAGGCGGTGAGGAGGGGTTTGTGGGGGCACGTGTGGGTCCAGTGGGGGTCACCTTGGGCCACATGGCAGTGGTGTGGCAGCAGTGTGGATAAGAGTGGCAACATAGAGGGGTCTGTGGTGGTTCCGTGGAGCAAGCACGTGGGTAGCACATGGGGGGTTCTGTAAGGTGGTCACGTGGCTGGCACGTGGTGGTCATGTGCAGGCCATAGTGTGGGCATGTGAGGGAGGCCATGAGGAGGGATTCACGGGGGGGACAGGTCATATGTGGAGTTACATGGGCCCTGTGGCAGGGGTGGGGGGCCACGCGGGTGGCATGTGGGGTGTTGGAGGGTACTCGGGGTCTCTGTGGGGCACACACGGGCACACGGGGGGCATTTGGAGAGGCCGTGAGGAGGGGCTCCGCGCTGAGCACCATGGCCATGGCTTTGCCCCGTGGGAGCAGGAGTGCAGCTGGGCGAGGAGGCCACAGGGCTGGGGCGGAGACCCCAGACAGCACAGGGCAGAGAAGCTTGTGTGGGCCGTGTCTGGGTCCCAGCCTGCAGACCAGGGCTGAGGGGAAAGACTGGTGTTCTCAGTACTAGGTCGGGGGCGGTCTGTTACCAGACCCTGTGAGCGGAACACGTCGTTTCCAGTCCTTACCACCTGACGGTACACGGCCTTGCCCCACTTCATGGATGAGGAGACACTGTTGGTCGGCGGGCCCGGCTCTGACCCCCGGATGAGCCCAGCACCCCCAGTGGCCACTGGGGGGCACGCACACTGAGATGCCTCCTCCCAGCGGCCGACGGGCCTCCCTTTGGGGTCTGGCGCTCCATCCGACCTCTGCTTGTCTGTCCAGTGACCCTGTCCCCTCTGGGTTTGGGTGGCACAGCATCTCCCATCCCCGCTGTGACGGCTCCCCGACCTCTGTGACCCCAGACAGGATGCTCTTCTCGGGGCGGCCCCAGGCCTGGAGTCCAGGGAACCACCTGCCGGTAGGACACAAGGGCCCATTGGACACACCCAGAGGTTGGTCACCGTAGAGGTGGTAGATGGCATTCCTGGGGGCCTTGGGAGGAACCAGCTCTGCCCACACCCGGCTCTCAGGCGTCTGGCCTCTGGGAGGTGAGATACGCTTCTGTGGTTTGAGCCGGGGTCTGTGGCGCTCTGGACGGCCGCCCTGGTGAACGAACACGTGTGTCTGCTGCTTCATTAGCCGTCCTATTCCGGGACCACCTGTCGGGCAGCTGCAGGTGACCGGCACGGCTTTGAGGACAGCACCGGCCACGCCGAGCACCTTCTGTCGTTTGTCTCCTGAGAACGTTGGTCACAGGCCGCGTGGGGGTGCTGCCCCTATACCCGTGTTGCGGGGCCTCTGGGGGCTCAGTCCCTTACTCAGGCCCCCGTGGGCTGCGAGGAGGGTCAGGCCTAGGCAGGGTCTCTGTGCGATGCCGACCTGAATGTCCACAAAACCGTTCATCTTCCGATGTTGGCTCCCTGGCAGGGGCGTGGCCAGAGCAGGAGGGACAGACAGACAGGTCCTCTGTCTTCTCAGCAGGCCGCTTCAGGAGAGGGAATGTGGCCTTTCATCCCACCTCTCCTCCCCTCCTCACTGTCCCCCAGCTGGCCGGCGATCTGCCGTCTCTCCCAGTCCAGGGCAGGCTTGAGCTAGGTGCCTGGTCTCGGCGTGGCTGTGCCTGGGCCTGGCTGCTTCTGCCCGCCGGCCCCCAACTCCACCCCCGGCCCTCTAGCTGAAGCTGCTAAGGGGAGGGAGGGGCTGTGCCCGGTCTCGTCTGTGGCCTGGCCTGCACAGAGCCCAGGATGGGCGGGACTGCCCGGAGGCCTGGCATCACCGGGGCAGCCGTGAGCCCTTGGCCCGCTAGCCTTCAGTCCGGCGCCCACACCCACAGCCTTCGGGAAGTGGACCGCGGTGGGTGCTGGGGAAGCACTCAGGCCACATCGGGGGCCATCGTGAGTGATGCCGGGGGCTGTCGGGGGGCCGCTGGATGATGGCTTGTAGATGACAGACCCGCCTGAGCCACAGGAGGTGGGTCTGTGGTTGGATGAGTCACCGGCCTGTCCTGGCGGTTCTCCTTCATCAGCCAAGGAGGCCCTGCAGCCCCAGGGGCTGTTGGAGGGTTTAGCGAGGTGTGGCCTTCGCCAAGGCCGGGCAGAGTAGCACTCAGCAGCGCTGCCATCAGGACGCAGGGAAATGCTCACTGTACACCAGCCACGGAATCCGCGGGCGCACGGACACTCTGCCTCCTCTCTGCAGTGAGGAGGAGGCCGCGTGGCCAGCTTCTGCGTGGCCCTGCCCTCCTCCTGGTCTGCAGGCTTTATGCCACTTCGTGGACGTGCCCTCTGGAAACCCAGGTCCCGGCCACCCCAGGATCGCCTTCAAGGTGAGCGCCCTCGCGGGGTCCAGCCCTTTGCAGCCCCGCACACCCCCAGGGCCTGGCTGTATTTCCTCCCGCGCTAATTTCCCCGCGACACTGTTCTACTCCCGTTGATTGAATGCTTCTGGGCTGACAGGGGAGAAGATTTGCGGCGCAGCTCATCACGGCTCCAGAGGAGGGCGGGGCGGCCGGCGGAGGATCCTGGGCTGCGGGCATGTTTTATGGCACGGGGGGGAAGACAAA